AAAAAATAGAGTCTCATGGTATTGGGGGTGCTATATTAAGCTGGATTAGGGCATGGCTATACCAAAGGAAACAGAGAGTTAGTATAAATGGAATCAAGTCAGAGTGGGAAAATGTTGTAAGTGGAGTGCCTCAAGGCTCTGTCCTGGGACCTCTGTTGTTTATAATATATATAAATGATTTAGATTCAGGTTTGAGTAGCAACATTTGCAAATTTGCCGATGATACGAAAATCGGTAGGGAAATTAATTCGGAGGAGGACTCACTATCACTTCAAGTTGATCTAGATAGGGTTTTGAAATGGTCAAAGGATTGGCAGATGCAGTTTAATGCTGATAAATGTAAAGTTCTGAGGTTAGGTAATGATGATAGAGTTACAAGATACGAGCTAGATGGTGTTGTGATTGCGAAGTCGGATTGCGAAAGGGATCTGGGAGTTATGATTAGTAAGAATTTAAAACAAAAGGATCAATGCATAAATGTTCGTAATAAGGCAAATCGGACACTTGGATTTATTAATCGCAGCGTTAGTAACAAGACACCTGGTGTGGTTCTCAAGCTATATCTTGCTCTAGTTAGGCCCCATTTAGATTATGCAGTTCAGTTTTGGTCGCCATATTATAGAATGGATATAAATTCACTTGAACGTGTCCAGCGTAGGATGACTAAGTTAATTCCCCAAATTAGAAATCTTTCATATGAAGAAAGATTAACAAAGCTTAAGTTGCATTCACTGGAAAGGCGAAGAGTTAGGGGTGACATGATAGAGGTTTACAAGTGGATGAATGGACATAACCGGGGGGATATTAATAGGGTATTAAAAGTATCAACACAGGACAGAACACGAAACAATGGATATAAATTGGATAAGTTTAGATTTAGGAAAGACTTGGGTAAATACTGGTTCAGTAACAGGGTTGTTGATTTGTGGAACCAATTGCCGCGTAACATTGTGAAGGTGGGGTCCCTCGATTGTTTCAAGCACGGGTTGGACAAGTATATGAGTGGGATTGGGTGGTTATAGAATAGGAGCTGCCTCGTATGGGCCAATAGGCCTTCTGCAGTTACCTTTGTTCTTATGTTCTTATGTTCTTAGAACAACACCAGGTGTCTTGTTGCTAACGCTTCTATTAATAAGTCCCAGTGTCCTGTTTGCCTTATTACGAACGTTCATGCCTTGATCCTTTGGTTTTAAATTCTTACTAATCATAACTCCCAGATCCCTTTCGCAATCCGACTTCGCAATCTCAACACCATCCAGCTCGTATCTTGTAACTCTATCATCATTACCTACCCTCAAAACTGTACATTTATCAGCATTAAACTGCATCTGCCAATCTTTTGACCATTTCAAAACCCTATTTAGATCAACTTGAAGTGATAGTGAGTCTTTTTCCGTGTTAATTTCCCTACCGATTTTTGTATCATCGGCAAATTTGCAAATGTTGCTACTCAAACCTGAATCTAAATCATTTATATATATATATTATAAACAACAGAGGTCCCAGGACAGAGCCTTGAGGAACTCCACTTACAACATTTTCCCACTCTGACTTATCCCCATTTATACTAACTCTCTGTTTCCTTTGGTATAGCCATGCCCTAATCCAACTTAATATAGCACCCCCAATACCATGAGCTTCTATCTTTTTAATCAGTCTTTCATGTGGCACTGTATCAAAAGCTTTGCTAAAGTCAAGGTACACAACATCACAATCCTTACCACTATCAACTATGCTGGAATAAAAAGATAACAACTTCTAGTGTGTGGTCTGGTCAACATACTTCAGCCACGTTATTGTGACTCATCTCCTGCAAAAAGATAACAAATTTGTTACACATGAACGGCCATTTGCAAAACCATGTTGTGACTCGTTTATTTATGTTTTTCAAGATGAAGACGAATGGTATTTGCAATTATCGATTCAAGTAACTTTCCCACAATAGACGTTAGGCTAATTGGCCGATAGTGTGATGCATGTGAAATAGCTCCTTTCTTAAAAATTGGTACCACATTAGCTACCTTCCACGACTCTGGCACTCTACCTGACTTTAATGTTTTATTTAATATGGTATACAATGGATCGTAAAGCTCCTCTTTGCATTCTCCATCCCCAAGACATTCCAATCTGCTGTTTATAATATATATAAATGATTTAGATTCAGGTTTGAGTAGCAACATTTGCAAATTTGCCGATGATACGAAAATCGGTAGGGAAATTAATTCGGAGGAGGACTCACAATCACTTCAAGTTGATCTAGATAGGGTTTTGAAATGGTCAAAGGATTGGCAGATGCAGTTTAATGCTGATAAATGTAAAGTTCTGAGGTTAGGTAATGATGATAGAGTTACAAGATACGAGCTAGATGGTGTTGTGATTGCGAAGTCGGATTGCGAAAGGGATCTGGGAGTTATGATTAGTAAAAATTTAAAACAAAAGGATCAATGCATAAATGTTCGTAATAAGGCAAATCGAACACTTGGATTTATTAATCGCAGCGTTAGTAACAAGACACCTGGTGTGGTTCTCAAGCTATATCTTGCTCTAGTTAGGCCCCATTTAGATTATGCAGTTCAGTTTTGGTCGCCATATTATAGAATGGATATAAATTCACTTGAACATGTCCAGCGTAGGATGACTAAGTTAATTCCCCAAATTAGAAATCTTTCATATGAAGAAAGATTAACAAAGCTTAAGTTGCATTCACTGGAAAGGCGAAGAGTTAGGGGTGACATGATAGAGGTTTACAAGTGGATGAATGGACATAACCGGGGGGATATTAATAGGGTATTAAAAGTATCAACACAGGACAGAACACGAAACAATGGATATAAATTGGATAAGTTTAGATTTAGGAAAGACTTGGGTAAATACTGGTTCAGTAACAGGGTTGTTGATTTGTGGAACCAATTGCCGCGTAACATTGTGGAGGTGGGGTCCCTCGATTGTTTCAAGCACGGGTTGGACAAGTATATGAGTGGGATTGGGTGGTTATAGAATAGGAGCTGCCTCGTATGGGCCAATAGGCCTTCTGCAGTTACCTTTGTTCTTATGTTCTTATGTTCTTATCTATTCCGTTCCTCCCTTGTGTGTGGGACTGACGATCAACACTCTCTCAAAGCTGCAAACAATTAGGGACAGCAACACATCAGCAGACAACTGTGTTTTCAAGTTCAATGCGATTATACCGTGTCGCAAGGCGCAATTAACCCAACGAGACCATTTGACCATTGGGGGTGTCCACCAATAACCCAATCTCCATCTGAAATGGCAGTGACGGCGCCTCTGTCCCTCCTGGACCCTTCACTTGAAGCTACACTGTATACCTGGCTGGTATACTTCCCAGTATACATGTTCACTTACCGCAGTTATCCCAGCCGCTGATGAGCACGGGCGGCGGTACAACACCCTGCAACAAAATAACAAAGGGTCAGATACCAGGGATAATTCTGAGAGATGTGGTGGTGATTAGACACATGTCCAGCAGCATCAGTAGTCCAGCTCAACCTGCCAGTAGCATCCCTAACCTCACCACCCGGGATAACACCACATTATAGTGAACGTCGCGCACCTTCACCATGATATATATAAGACACAAAATTATATATTTTTGTTTTGTTTTTTGCTATGGTAGGTTAGGATAGGGTGGGTTGGGTTGTTTTGGATTTGGGTGAGATGGGTTGGGTTGGGTTTATGTAGGGAGTGTAGACAACAGCTGGAAGGGTTCATGTCCCCGGTACCTCTCTAGGGGAAGTCTGGGTAAAAACGTTGATGTTAATATGAATCAGCGTTGATAACGTTGTTCATAGTAACTCTAGCGTGCGTTGATAGCTTGTGAACACTGTCACTGAACCTGACGGGCGCCTGACGGCTGGGTGGACAGCGCTTCGGATTTGTAGTCCTGAGGTTCCGGGTTCGATCCTCGGTGGAAGCGGAGACAAATGGACCAAATGTTTCTTTCACCCTGATGCCGTGTTACCTAGCAGTAAATAGGTACCTGGGAATTAGACAGCTGCTACTGGCTGCTTCCTGGGGATGTGTAACAAAATGAATGATTGGTCGAGGACCGGGCCGCGGGGACGCTAAGCCCCGAAATCAACTCAAAATAACCTCAAGAAGATAGTGAACACACCACCCTGCCATCACGTGAACACACCACCCTGCCATCACGTGAACACACCACCCTGCCATCACGTCAACACAACACCCTGCCATCACGTGAACACACCCACCCTGCCATCACGTCAACACACCCACCCTGCCATCACGTCAACACACCACCCTGCCATCACGTCAACACACCCACCCTGCCATCACGTGGACACACCACCCTGCCATCACGTGAACACACCCACCCTGCCATCACGTCAACACACCACCCTGCCATCACGTCAACACACCACCCTGCCATCACGTCAACACACCACCCTGCCATCACGTCAACACACCCACCCTGCCATCACGTCAACACACCCACCCTGCCATCACGTCAACACACCACCCTGCCATCACGTCAACACACCACCCTGCCATCACGTCAACACACCCACCCTGCCATCACGTCAACACACCCACCCTGCCATCACGTCAACACACCCACCCTGCCATCACGTCAACACACCACCCTGCCATCACGTCAACACACCCACCCTGCCATCACGTCAACACACCCACCCTGCCATCACGTCAACACACCACCCTGCCATCACGTCAACACACCACCCTGCCATCACGTCAACACACCACCCTGCCATCACGTCAACACACCACCCTGCCATCACGTCAACACACCACCCTGCCATCACGTCAACACACCACCCTGCCATCACGTCAACACACCACCCTGCCATCACGTCAACACACCACCCTGTTCTAATGTAACAGAAAAATAACAATGCGAATATAATTATTTCCATCAAGAATACACTAGACATAACAAGAGCAGTGATCATGGCCCCTCACAAGAGCAGTGATCATGGCCCCTCACAAGAGCAGTGATCATGGCCCCTCACAAGAGCAGTGGTCATGGCCCTCACAAGAGCAGTGATCATGGCCCTCACAGGAGCAGTGATCACGGCCCTTACAAGAGCAGTGATCATGGCCCTCACAAGAGCAGTGATCATGGCCCTCACAAGAGCAGTGATCATGGCCCTCACAAGAGCAGTGGTCATGGCCCTCACAAGAGCAGTGATCATGGCCCTCACAGGAGCAGTGATCACGGCCCTCACAAGAGCAGTGATCATGGCCCTCACAAGAGCAGTGATCATGGCCCTCACAGGAGCAGTGATCACGGCCCTCACAAGAGCAGTGATCATGGCCCTCACAAGAGCAGTGATCATGGCCCTCACAAGAGCAGTGATCATGGCCCTCACAAGAGCAGTGATCATGGCCCTCACAGAGAGGCTGTTCCCTCCTGCTGTGTTTCCCCTAAACCCCACAACGGTACACTGTGGGAGTGATTGTTTTGTGTGGGAGTAATTGTTTTGTGTGGGAGTGATTGTTTTGTGTGGGAGTAATTGTTTAGTGTGGGAGTGATTCTTTAGTGTGGGAGTGATTCTTTAGTGTGGGAGTGATTGTTTAGTGTGCGAGTGATTGTATAGTGTGGGAGTGATTGTTTAGTGTGGGAGTGATTGTTTAGTGTGCGAGTGATTGTATAGTGTGGCAGTGATTGTTTAGTGTGGGAGTGATTGTTTAGTGTGGGAGTGATTCTTTAGTGTGGGAGTGATTCTTTAGTGTGGGAGTGATTCTTTAGTGTGGGAGTGATTCTTTAGTGTGGGAGTGATTGTGTAGTGTGGGAGTGATTGTTTGGTGTGGGAGTGATTGTTTAGTGTGAGATTGATTGTTTAGTGTGGGAGTGATTGTTTAGTGTGGGAGTGATTGTGTAGTGTGGGAGTGATTGTGTAGTGTGGGAGTGATTGTGTAGTGTGGGAGTGATTGTGTAGTGTGGGAGTGACTGTATAGTGTGGGAGTGACTGTGTAGTGTGGGAGGGATTGTGTAGTGTGGGAGTGATTGTTTAGTGTGGGAGTGATTGTTTAGTGTGGGAGTGATTGTGTTGTGTGGGAGTGATTGTATAGTGTGGGAGTGATTGTATAGTGTGGGAGTGATTGTATAGTGTGGGAGTGATTGTATAGTGTGGGAGTGATTGTATAGTGTGGGAGTGATTGTATAGTGTGGGAGTGATTGTATAGTGTGGCAGTGATTGTATAGTGTGGCAGTGATTGTATAGTGTGGGAGTGATTGTATAGTGTGGTAGTGATTGTATAGTGTGGGAGTGATTGTTTAGTGTGGGAGTGATTGTGTAGTGTGGGAGTGATTGTTTAGTGTGGGAGTGATTGTATAGTGTGGGAGTGATTGTTTAGAGTGGGAGTGATTGTTTAGTGTGGGAGTGATTGTATAGTGAGGGAGTGATTGTTTAGTGTGGGAGTGATTGTTTAGTGTGGGAGTGATTGTTTAGTGTGGGAGTGATTGTATAGTGTGGGAGTGATAGTTTAGTGTGGGAGTGATTGTTTAGTGTGGGAGTGATTGTGTAGTGTGGGAGTGATTGTTTAGTGGGAGTGATTGTTTAGTGTGGGAGTGATTGTTTAGTGTGGGAGTGATTGTATAGTGTGGGAGTGATTGTGTAGTGTGGGAGTGATTGTATAGTGTGGGAGTGATTGTGTAGTGTGGGAGTGATTGTATAGTGTGGGAGTGATTGTTTAGTGTGGGAGTGATTGTTTAGTGTGGGAGTGATTGTTTAGTGTGGGAGTGATTGTTTAGTGTGGGAGTGATTGTGTAGTGTGGGAGTGATTGTATAGTGTGGGAGTGATTGTTTTGTGTGGGAGTGATTGTTTTGTGTGGGAGTAATTGTTTTGTGTGGGAGTGATTGTTTTGTGTGGGAGTAATTGTTTAGTGTGGGAGTGATTGTGTAGTGTGGGAGTGATTGTTTAGTGTGGGAGTGATTGTATAGTGTGGGAGTGATTGTTTTGTGTGGGAGTGATTGTTTTGTGTGGGAGTGATTGTTTTGTGTGGGAGTAATTGTTTAGTGTGGGAGTGATTCTTTAGTGTGGGAGTGATTCTTTAGTGTGGGAGTGATTCTTTAGTGTGGGAGTGATTGTTTAGTGTGCGAGTGATTGTATAGTGTGGGAGTGATTGTTTAGTGTGGGAGTGATTGTTTAGTGTGCGAGTGATTGTATAGTGTGGGAGTGATTGTTTAGTGTGGGAGTGATTGTTTAGTGTGGGAGTGATTGTTTAGTGTGGGAGTGATTCTTTGGTGTGGGAGTGATTCTTTAGTGTGGGAGTGATTCTTTAGTGTGGGAGTGATTGTTTGGTGTGGGAGTGATTGTTTGGTGTGAGAGTGATTGTTTAGTGTGAGAGTGATTGTTTAGTGTGGGAGTGATTGTTTAGTGTGGGAGTGATTGTTTAGTGTGGGAGTGATTGTGTAGTGTGGGAGTGATTGTTTAGTGTGGGAGTGATTGTATAGTGTGGGAGTGATTGTTTAGTGTGGGAGTGATTGTTTAGTGTGGGAGTGATTGTTTAGTGTGGGAGTGATTGTATAGTGTGGGAGTGATTGTTTAGTGTGGGAGTGATTGTTTAGTGTGGGAGTGATTGTGTAGTGTGGGAGTGATTGTTTAGTGGGAGTGATTGTTTAGTGTGGGAGTGATTGTTTAGTGTGGGAGTGATTGTGTAGTGTGGGAGTGATTGTGTAGTGTGGAAGTGATTGTATAGTGTGGGAGTGATTGTTTAGTGTGGGAGTGATTGTTTAGTGTGGGAGTGATTGTTTAGTGTGGGAGTGATTGTGTAGTGTGGGAGTGATTGTTTAGTGTGGGAGTGATTGTATAGTGTGGGAGTGATTGTTTTGTGTGGGAGTGATTGTTTTGTGTGGGAGTAATTGTTTTTGTGGTGGGAGTGATTGTTTTGTGTGGGAGTAATTGTTTAGTGTGGGAGTGATTGTGTAGTGTGGGAGTGATTGTTTAGTGTGGGAGTGATTGTATAGTGTGGGAGTGATTGTTTTGTGTGGGAGTGATTGTTTTGTGTGGGAGTAATTGTTTTGTGTGGGAGTGATTGTTTTGTGTGGGAGTAATTGTTTAGTGTGGGAGTGATTGTGTAGTGTGGGAGTGATTGTTTAGTGTGGGAGTGATTGTATAGTGTGGGAGTGATTGTTTTGTGTGGGAGTGATTGTTTTGTGTGGGAGTAATTGTTTTGTGTGGGAGTGATTGTTTTGTGTGGGAGTAATTGTTTAGTGTGGGAGTGATTCTTTAGTGTGGGAGTGATTCTTTAGTGTGGGAGTGATTGTTTAGTGTGCGAGTGATTGTATAGTGTGGGAGTGATTGCTTAGTGTGGGAGTGATTGTTTAGTGTGCGAGTGATTGTATAGTGTGGCAGTGATTGTTTAGTGTGGGAGTGATTGTTTAGTGTGGGAGTGATTGTGTAGTGTGGGAGTGATTGTGTAGTGTGGGAGTGATTGTGTAGTGTGGGAGTGATTGTGTAGTGTGGCAGTGATTGTGTAGTGTGGGAGTGACTGTATAGTGTGGGAGTGACTGTGTAGTGTGGGAGGGATTGTGTAGTGTGGGAGTGATTGTTTAGTGTGGGAGTGATTGTTTAGTGTGGGAGTAATTGTGTAGTGTGGGAGTGATTGTATAGTGTGGGAGTGATTGTATAGTGTGGGAGTGATTGTAGTGTGGGAGTGATTGTATAGTGTGGGAGTGATTGTATTGTGTGGGAGTGATTGTATAGTGTGGGAGTGATTGTATAGTGTGGGAGTGATTGTATAGTGTGGCAGTGATTGTATAGTGTGGGAGTGATTGTATAGTGTGGCAGTGATTGTATAGTGTGGGAGTGATTGTATAGTGTGGCAGTGATTGTATAGTGTGGGAGTGATTGTATAGTGTGGGAGTGATTGTATAGTGTGGCAGTGATTGTATAGTGTGGGAGTGATTGTATAGTGTGGGAGTGATTGTATTGAGTGCGAGTGACGGAATAATATGGGAGTGATGGTATGGTGAAATTGATTGTACAGGGCGAGGGAAGGGAATTATCAGGAGAATGCGTCAAGACCTTACGACTATATAGGACTTTTAAGGAAGTCAGCATAAGGCTTTGGGATGGGACGGGGAGAAAGGAATGGTGCCCAACCACTTGGACGGTCGGGGAGTGAACGCCGACCTGCATGAAGCGAGACCGTCGCTCTTTCGTCGAGCCAAGTTATTGGGCGTCAAAAGCGTACATAGTTATAGTGTAAGTGATGATATAGTGGGAGAGAAGAGGTATATTATAATGTATGTTAGAAATATTCAATAGAGGCAACATTAACCAGGGTTCGATTCCCTGAAGAGATGACAAAACAAATTGCTCTTATAGGCAAAGGAATAAAACACCAAAATTAAAAAATATATAATTGTTGATTGGTAAAGATCTTACATCAGAGAGAAATAGAATGAGACCGAAATTGGTAAAAAAAAAAAAAAATTGAAAAAATCTGAAGAGCATATAGAGTGTGGGAAGACCCATTAGAGGAAAGTGGAGAGAGATGACTTAAAAGTTGGAAATATTTTAGACAACTCACACAAGGAAGCCACTGACTTTACTTTAGACAAAAGTTAAGAGTACCAACGTGTAACATTACTTGAGGTGGTCCTTTGGACCCTCAGGGGAGTTATTAAGGCCACCCCGAGTGCTTCCTGCCCAACTGGCAAGTAAGCAAGTTGAGGGGAGGTAAACTCAGTGTATATACACCGAAAAGCGAGGTATACCCTTCTTGCTGTACACGTCCAGTGTCTAGAGGGAAGGGGAGGGAACTATCAGGGAAAAGCGCCAAGCCATTACGACTATACAGCACTGGGATGGTGGTCACGATAAGGCTTTGGGATGGGACGGGGGAAGGAATGGTGCCCAACTACTTGGGTGGTCGGGGATTGAGTGATGCATCTGATGATACAGGTCATCACATGGTGATGATTAGGGGGGGGGGCGGTTGTACAGTCTTCAGGGACGATACTTTAAGAATAAATTTACTGTTTTGTGAAAAAGATCAGATAGTGTGATCCACAATTGGAGGGTGTGGTCGTGGAGGATGTGGTCGTGGAGGGCTGTGGTCGTGGAGGATGTGGTCGTGGAGGGTGTGGTCGTGGAGGGCTGTGGTCGTGGAGGGCTGTAGTCGTGGAGGGCTGTGGTCGTGGAGGCTGTGGTCGTGGAGGCTGTGGTCGTGGAGGCTGTGGTCGTGGAGGCTGTGGTCGTGGAGGCTGTGTGGTGGAGGCTGTGTGGTCGTGGAGGGCGTGGAGGGCTGTGTCGTGGAGGCTGTGGTCGTGGAGGGTGTGGTCGTGGAGGGTGTGGTCGTGGGTGGAGGGTGTGGTCGTGGAGGGCTGTGGTCGTGGAGGGTGTGGTCGTGGAGGCTGTGGTCGTGGAGGGTGTGGTCGTGGAGGGCTGTGGTCGTGGAGGGCTGTGGTCGTGGAGGGCTGTGGTCGTGG